AATGAATATATCATTATTATTATATTATTATGTATAATTTCATTTATTACTAATATCATCATTTATATCTTTTTCTTTTGATATTATTCTTTCATATTATTTTATTTCATTGTTTGTATTATTATTTATTATATTTCATACCAAATTAATTTATTATAAGCAGATAATAACTGGGTAAATCATTGTTTGAATTTGTATTAATGTTTGTGTGTTTCTGACATACCAACTTCAAATATGAAATGGGTTATTGTTAATAAACAAAAAGTGAATTAAAATAGTTTGAAATAGTTTGAAAAATCATTAAATAATAAACAAAATAAAATAAACAACATTCAACAAAAACAAAAATTATTATAAATGCACTGAAATAATATTTAAATAAATAGGAACTGACAAAATATAAAGGAGTTTACAAGAAGATGAATTAACCAAAATACTTTTAATTGGAGAAACAGGTGTTGGTAAAAGTTCACTTGGTAATTTTATTTTAAAGAATAATGTTTTTAGAGAAAGTAATAATCCATATTCAGAAACAAAAGAAGTTGTTAAATATTCTGGAGAAGGTGATAGAAAAGATGCAGTTGTTATTGATATACATTGTCTTAATAATACTAATAGTTTTGGTAATGAAAATATTCAAAATATTGTTGATTGTGTTAGAGATGAAGGATTACAAGGAATTATATTAACAATAGATTATATGTGTCTCAAATTTACTGATAACATTAAATAAGTTGTTGTAATTATAAATGATGTTATAATGCTTTTTCACAACAGATACTTGAAAAAGATAAATTTATTAGAGAATGCAGAAATGAAAATAATAGAAGAAACAACTAGAAACAACACCAAAAAACAAATAATATAAAAAGAATATAAAGATATAAAAGAATAAAAATAAAGTAGAAGAAGAATATAAAAAGTAATAAATCACAAAGAGGTAATAAAAGAAGAAAAGAATGAAAATGGTGTATTTTTATTGTAAAAATTAGAAATATTCAATAAAAGTGTCTAATTTAATGATTCAAAATAATTAACAATATTTTATTAATGAAAAATATTTTACTCTTTTTTATGTTATTGTTCATATGTATAATTTCATTATGATATTTATTATATAATCAATAATATATTTTATGTTATTATAACATATAATAAGTGATAAAATATAAATGAAAATGATATGAATATATGATATAGAATATAAAACAAAAGAATAATAAGAATAAATGATAAATAAAACGAGAAATGATAGTCAATGATATAATAATAAATTCAAAGTATAAAAGATAAAATTAATATTAATATAAATCAAAAGAGAATAAATATAAAATGAAAATAGATATAAATGATAATAATATAAAAATAAATAAGATAAATAAACAAATAAAAAATACAACTAAATATAAAAGAATAACAAGAAGAAAATCTAAAGAATATAAACATAAAATAAGAATAATATAATAATATATAGATAATAAGAAGAATACAATGATATAAATAATATAAACAGAGAAATAAATATATAAAAATACGATAGATAAATAACATATAAATAAAAGAATATGAATAATAAAAATAATTAAATATGATTCATCAAATAATCTATTTCATTAATATTTCATACAAAATGAATATAAATGATTATAAAATATAAACATAAATATTTACATATTCTGTATTTATCATATTTTTTTTATTTTTTATTTTTTTTAGGGCAAAATATAATAAAGTGGAAAATTCTATGGATGCAAATTTTTTTGCATCTTTTTTCTTTTTTGTAAATTATTTAGATGCATTTTTTCTTTGCTAATTTTCGTACCCATATTGTTTATATCTTCTATTTGGATAATAGTATTTTTGATGACAACATTTATAGTTCCCACCATCGTACCATTGTCTATTTTCAAAGAGAACATATCTATGAACTGTCTTATTTGTATTAAATACTTTTTGATTTTTGTTATTTCTTCTATAATAATGATTATTCTCTTTAATCTCTTTTGCTTCATGTAATAATTATTTTTATTTAAAATTCGTGGTGTTTTAAATAATGGTTAAATAAATTCAAAACAAATTACAATACAACAAAAAATTAACTTGATGTCATGTTGGAAGAAAGTGTAATAATTCTATTCTTTCATATACAAACCAAATATCTGAATAATTACAATGACTTTTTGTAATTTAATATGATTTTTGAACAATTATTTGTTCAACTTTATGAAGAAATATAGATGTTTCAAAGTGATAAATTAAATAAAAGAATTGTAAAAGATTATTCAAAGTATCAAAATTAAAAGTAGTAATTTGTTAAATGACTATTAAATCTTCATTCCATAAATACAACTCGTTAAAAAACATTCTTAAAGAATTTTCTTGTTAATAACGTATTTATGTTACAAGAGAATTGGTAATAACTAAAAAATGAATGTTAGTAAACATTCTTGTACTGTTTTGTTATTTTCAAGTAACACCATTTAATACTTAAACCATTTGAAATGATTATTTAGAAAATGATTAATACACTTTGTATATTCTAATAACTATTTTACAGTTAATATCAATTGTTATCATATACAACACAACTTTTATATTCTTGATTTAAATTAGGAAATTAAACTTTCTCTTTTATAATATGTCATAAATATCTGTTTTATTTGGTATTATCAATTCACATTATCA